ATATAAACAATTCCATAACTCCTGTCACTAAACAATCCCCATTTCACATAAAAAATTCTTTCGAGTTTGTCGAAAAACTTAAACAAATTACAGTTCCAAATGATAACGTTTTAATTAGTTTAGACGTAGTATCATTGTTTACAAACGTTCCATTAGACCTTATCCTTGAAGCCATAACTAAAAAATGGCACGATATATCCTTCCACACCACAATTTCCCTACACTGGTTTCGAGAAACAATTAAATTTTTAATTTCTAACACATATTTTGAGTTCGATAGTAAATTCTACTTCCAAACATTTGGTACACCAATGGGATCTCCAGCCTCCCCATCTTTAGCTGAAATAGCCCTTCAACACATAGAATACGCAATTTTAAATTCCTACAATAAACAAATTTTTTACTATCGATATGTTGATGACATCATAACATGCATCCCAAACAGTGACACAACAACTCTGGTAAATTCTTTTAATGCCCACAACCAACATCTACAATTCACTTATGAATTAGAAAATAATAAATCTATCAGTTTCTTAGATGTACAACTCTTTCGCGAAAATAATAATATAATAACTGATTGGTATCACAAACCAACATACTCAGGCCGATATCTTAATTACCACTCTTACCACCCCCTCTCTATCAAAATAGGCACAATCATAAACTTAATTGACCACGCATTATTATTATCACACAGTAAATTTTTAAGAAAGAATCTCTCTCTCATTTCACAAATCCTAACCAAAAACTCCTACCCACAACACCTCATCCAATCCATAACAAAAAATAGAATCTTATATCTCCAAAACCGTCACAATAATTTAATTAATAACCCAAACCTTGAAAACTACGTCGGAACTATAAGTTTACCTTTCATCAAAGAATTATATTACCCGTGGAGAAAACTTTTCAATAAAAATAATATTAGAGTAGTTTGTACTTCCGAAAATACTTTTTCAACTCTTTTTACAAAATTAAAATCAAAATTTAACCCAAGAATCTTAAGTAATCTAGTTTATAAGCTTAATTGTCTAGATTGTAATTGCGTTTACATAGGTGAAACTAGTCAGAACCTGCACAAAAGAACATCTCAACACAAAAACAATTCAAAAAATAAAAATCAGTATAAAACACAATTAACAGATCATATCAATGAACTCAAACATAGCATTGATTTTTCCAATCCCACGATCCTACATTTCGAAAATAATTTATTTAAAAGACGATTTAGCGAAGGTTGCTTAATATCTTTACACAAGGATACAGCCATAAATTTATGACTATAAAATAACTCACGACTATTTTCAAAAACACCACCATATCTGAATGAAGCGTGTATTTTTATTATTTTATTATTTTACAAAAAACATATGTCTGCCGGTCTTTTTTACACTTTCTCAAAAAAATTGTAAACACAATTCATTCAGTTTTTAGACGTTAGTCAATTTGTACACACTAGAATGTAAGCAAAAATTGTCTAAAAAAATTAATTAGTTTAAATGTTCCAATTATTAATAGCCTGGTTATCACAGTGTAATAGTGTAGTGTATTTTTGTATAATTAATTCTGTAAGTACTTATATATAAGTTATAACTTTATATTATTGCCTCCTACATCATATAAAATCTTTTAGTTTTCCACTGAATGACGGTCTCGATGAAGACCGAAACGTATGGATAAATAAAGTATTTAAAAACTACTTTAGTTTTTTTTCTTTACTTGGTGTTACTGCCCGATTCTAAATAACTCATCAAAATATATATCAACACCAAACTCACATATTTCAATATATATATATATATATATATATATATATATATATATATAAATGCAGCTCTTTTTCAAATGTCTTAGTAAAACTCGAAAACGGCTAAACCGATTTGAACAGTCTTAGTCTTGAAAAATTCGTGCCAATCCAGAGATGGTCGGAAAGGTGAGATATTATTTCAAAATCGCGTAAAAACTTCACATTTTTAATTTGAAAATTTTTGCAGAAGCGTAATTGAAATAAAACAATGGACAGTGGCTAATACGTGAAATGTCAAACGTTTTTGACAGATGATTATGATTTAATTATGATTAAATTGTAGTAAGTAGTTTTGTTTGTAGTTTTATTTATATACAAAAACGTTAGTAAACGGGCCGCAAGTGTTACTAGAGACTCAAAATATCAACTTTTTTGAAATGTTAATATGAAAATGCACTTTTTGGCATATTTTTCTTAAACACGGTGCTCTGAAAGATCTCATTTGTATGATTATATACTCATTGGTATTTATAAAACATTTTCTAGGTTATATTATTTTTTATTTATGTTATTTAAATTCAGAACCTAAATTAGGTATCGATCAAATTATAATTTTCCAGAATTTATCGAAGAATAGATAGTAATATATGAAGGTCCGGGGTTAAAAAGGTCCACCACCGATGTGTCAAAAATTAGTAAAGTCAAGCATTACATGTACAGGCAAAAATATGTATAACCAGCTATAACCTTGATTTGAAAACGGTAATCTTTGAAATGAGGGAGATAAACGGTTCTCTTTGAAAATCCATAATAAAAGTATTTTCTTCCGTTGGTAGTTTTCTAGCATTAGTTAAAAATGTAATTATTTTGTAAAATACATTTAAAATTATAATAAGGCTTAAGTTAAGGCGCAAGTTACCACGCCTAAAGGGTAAAAAGGTCTAAATAACAAATTTTTGAAAGACATCAAAAAAGCACATTTCTACAATGATGAAGTAGAAGGCAGTTTACTGAACGTAGTTAGATAATTGTTCGTTTGATATGTGTAATTTATTGTGATATAATTGTTATTTACAATATAGTTTATATTTGCTCAAAATCAAATTGGACCTTTGTGCTTTGCCCTGCTCTACATACATACTTTTTATTAAATTTACTTTAATTTATCGAATGTTACTTGAAACTCTTCAAAAATCAGGTCAAAGAAGAAATACTTAATTCATTTTCTATCTCTCCTCGCAAAAATTTGAAAATTGTGTATAAGCTCAGTAGTATTATTAACAATTATACACAAAATCCAGAATCCAAAAAGAATCTGAAAAACTTGAAACGTAATCAATAAGTTGAAAGACCAAAAAAGACTTGGATAGATTATACTATGTTTTCTATAGAAAGTGTATAAATCTTCCAGTTTGATTGTATTGACAAAGTATAGATAAACTAATGAGGTTCATTGTTTTTATAATTCATCATTGTATTATATTGCATTAAAACAACTCATCCTTATACACTTAAAGTATTAATATTTTTGATTCTCTAGAATTCTTTAGAATATACCTTACTTAGCAAAACAACGTTTGCCGCGTCAGCTAGTATGTAATATTTTTGCAGCCCCAAAATATTTTGTTAGTTATATTTCTTCTCTGTTTTTCTTTCGTTTCTCACAACTCGCTCCCACTCCTTCATTACATTTGCTTGACTACACTGCGTAGTAACCTTGAACAGTGTCCACAATGCGCCGCTATCAATAACATTAAATATAGGAGGGAAATATGTGCTCCTTTATTTCTCGTTTGTTAATATAATAGTATTTTATTATTTTACACAAATTTAGTGTTCAATCAATTTTAGATCATAATTTTTTCTGTTGTTTTTCTTGGTTTGGTATGTATAATTTCCTCCTTTTTATATATTTATATTTATCATCAACTTTGTATTTATGTTATATGTTTTTTAGATTATTGAATGATGACACACATCAAGTGTCGAAACTTATAATGGAATAAATAATTTTGTTATTTAACCTTTTTTTAATTCGACGGTTGGGCTGCAAAAATATTACAAATATGTATCAACGTAGACAAAACTATCATATATATATATATATATATATATATATATATATATATATATATATATATATATATATATATATATATATATGAGATTCAGTCTTCAGGGCAATACATCAATTGAAAACTTATATAAACTTATAACATTTTTATTGTTTCCATACGTTTCGACATATTGTTTCGTGTCAATTGTTCACCAATGCACAATGAAAACAATTCTTGTCACTTTAAATCGGAAAAATTATATAAAATTTTAAAACGAATTTTTTATTGTATAGTAAATGTCGCAAAGCACGTTGTCCGATGTATCATCTCTCAACATCAAAATTATTAAAATTTAACATATATATAAATATATATATATATATATATATATATATATACATATATAAATATATATATATATACAGGGTGCTTCAAAAAAATGTATAAACACTTTCATAGAACTTCCATAGAAAATTTATTTACTGTTCTACAAAGTTAAATTTCAGAAAAATAGAAAGCTGAAAGTCCAATGTAAATGAAACATAAATATCAAATTTCAATAATGTTCAAATTGGTGACCTGCAGTGGTAATACAATTCTGAGTATGAGTCACCCACTGCTTGAATCTCATTCCAAACAATGTCTAGGTTACATGGTTTACGTTTGTACACCTCATCTTTTACTGTGCCCCACAAGAAGAAATCCAGTGGTGCAAGGTCTGGAGAGCGTGCTGGAAACTCAACTGGCCCCCTGTGTCCTATCCACTGGCGCGACAAATTTTGATCCAGGTAAGCTCGTACGTCCCTGTGATAGTGCGGGGCTAAATGATGCTACCCATAAATCCCGATTCACGTTTCACCATCTCCTGAATCCATTCACAAAATTGCAATCTTGTGATGTACAAAATCAATGACTCGTACTCAGAATTGTATTGACGCTGCAGGTCACAATTTGAACAGTATTAACATTTGTTATTTGTGTTTCATTTACATTCGACTTTCAGCTTTCTATTTTCCTGAAATTTAACTTTGTAGAACAGTAAATAAATTTTCTATTGACGTTCAAAGTGTGTATACATTTTTTTGAAGCACCCTGTATATATATATATATATATATATATATATATATATATATATATATATATATTATGTAAATTTTAAAATATATTCAGCTTTAGATTTTAGTTATTATACCTTATTAATCACGTCTACTGGGGTGTGGACGTCCATTCTATGTTATTAACAAGATAAGTTTACCTAAAAATATATTAATTTTTGTTTACTTGTCAAAAAAAAAAAAAACGCAGATAACTAATGATTTTGACAGCGATATGGCACAGACAGAGGGTACTCACAAGATCGACTTAAGTTTCCTAATTGTAGGTTTTGCAAAAACATAATAATAGCCAAACTGACAAAAATTTATCATATTTCACAAGAATTTACAAGAGGTTTTCTGCATTTACTCCGTTCTACCGTGATATAAATTGTCCGCTTTTCTTGGTTATTACCATTACCCTAGACAATATAATAATACCTTGATAATATAATGACCATTACATTCACAGAATACCTAAAGGGTCCTCCGCTCGACGTGATGGCGCTGCTTTTGGCACAATTAATGGCGCAAAATTTGAAATGAAAATTAATGAGTTATAGTACACGGGTATTTGAAACTAAATTTGGTATTACAATCGTATTATGTTTTGTAATAGTACAATAATAACAAAAATATACTAGATAATATTATATTATGATAAATATACAATCAAATCGAAATATAAATCAACAAATACACTGCAATACACCGGCATGGGGAGTTATCTCCGAACAAATGTATATTACCCTGTTTTGGAAAGGACTACAGTTTTTTAGCAAAAAAAAGATGTCGCTACTAAATTCAAAATATGATGGTTTCAAATGTCAAAATTACTCGCTTAGATTTGCCATTCGTCATTTTGTATCAAAGTTTGTGGTTCGATATTGTTTCTGTAATTAATTGTATTCAAGTAAGCATTTATGTGAAATTTAATATGGCAAAATGTAACGCACCAACTTGTGGTAACTTCAGAAATAATATAAAAATGCACTTCTTTCCGGCTTAATGAAGTGAACAAATTAGAAATGTCCAATTATATTTCACAGAATAGTTCTCATGTCTATAATGACCAGGAGAACACTCTGCAACTCCAGTGGAAAAGGTAATAATAATTCTGAATATTTTAATACCATTTGCTATTACGACTTGATATTATATTACAACATGTTATGTTTATTAGATGTTCTTGGGAATACCAATTGCAGCAGAATCTAGTGACTAAGGATAGGAGTGTCTTCATTCCGAGGGCATGTAAAATGTATGACACATCCATTATATGTTGAGGGAGTTAAGAAGGATAGACAAACAATGCAATTATTTAAGGTATAAATTGCAACAGAGTATAAAATGCTCAGAAATATTCTTAACATTCCAGCCGAAAGGACTGCTGCACTGTTCTATTGACACAATCGAATCATAAGAAATTCAAGATATTGTAGAATGCAACTTTATTAATGATTGATTGGAAAGCAAAACTAGTTGGTTTGGTATTTAGCCTTGAGGCAAGTTACATGAACTTCCCGATATGTGTAAATAATCGACTTAATCAAAAAAATGTGTAAATAATATTCTTTATCAATCCTACTTTGAAAAAAACAATAATAATTTTAGAAAACTTTGACGAATTTGTAAAATTAAACTTCTTGTCGTAAGGCCATATATTACAGTAAGTTCTATAAGACCATGATGTATATCGCCAAAAAAGTGCCATGAAAATCGGCTTAAATTTTTTTTCAACAGTTAATTACAAGAAAACGGCTCGGTAGATTTTCACCTAAAATTAATCAGTATCATTCCCAACTAATATCTTTCGAACAGTTTTTGATTTTTTAAAATCGGTTCGGTAGGATGAGCTTAAATGTGTACGAAAAGTTTTTTTGAATTACAAAGAAACGGCTTGTCAGATCGTTGCACAAAACTGACAAACGATAGTCCTCACCGAAATACATCAAATGGCTTTTAAATTTCTAAAATCGGTTCAGGCGTTTTTGAGAAAACGTCGATCCAAAGTCTAATTTTGACAAATGCCAAAAAGACCATACTGATTTTTGCAAACTTTGACGAATTTTTAAAGCTGAACCAGTTGTCGTAGGGCCGTAATATTTTAGTATGATATAGAAGACTATGGTATCTATCGTCAAAAAAATAATCATAAAAATCGTCGAAATTTTTTTTTTTTTAAACTTTATTACAAGAAAACGACCCGGCCGATCTCTACCAAAAACTAATCAGCACGATTCCCAACCAATATCTTTCGAACGGTTTTTGAATTTTCAAAATCGATTCATAACTGCGGGCTAAAACGTGGACGAAAGAGTTTTCACTTCTCTGCTATTTACGAAGAAACGGTTTGGCCGATCGTCGCACAAAACTGACAAACAATAGTCCTCGTCGAGATACATCAAATGGCTTTTAAATTTTTGAAATCGGTCCAGCCGTTTTTGAGAAAACGGCGATTTACGGCAAAAAATCTGTTGGTGCACACGCACACACACACACACACACACACACACACACACATACTTTTTCCAAATTTGGTCTCATTCGATTCAGAATGGCTTGAAACGTCGAGAAAACATAAAATTAGCGAATCGGATTTTTTGATGAAAACATAAACTTCTCCTTCGGGAAGTTAATAACTATCAAATGCAAAGTTAATGTTAAAGAAGCATGACTCATAAATGAATTTTAATTCTTGGAATTTAGTTTTCTATCAATTTTGATATCAATATATATATTTTATGTCTGCAGGATTTAACTTTTTAAATTTGTTCATTATTTGTCATTTCTTCTAATTATACTATTCCATTATCTTTTTATATACTCTATATACTACATTCTTAGACTCTATACTTTTTCTTCTCTTTTTAATATATTAATATTAGTCATTAAGAAATTAATATTAGTCAGTTCGTGTAAATTCATTATACTTATGAAAACTTTTACAATATTTCTGTCTAGTTGTTATATATTATTGATCATTAAGTAATTCATATTGATCGCTACTTTTAAGTTTAACATTTTATTGTAAATGCTTCTACACAATCTTTGTCTGGTTGTTAATTATTATTGATCATTAAGTAATTCATATTGATCGTTACTTTTAAGTTTAACATTTTATTGTAAATGCTTCTACACAATCTCAGTGTAGTTGCTATATATTATTGATCATTAAGTAATTCATATTGATCGTTATTTTTAAGTTTAACATTTTATTGTAAATGCTTCTACATAATCTCTGTGTAGTTGCTATATATTATTGATCATTCAGTAATTCATATTGATTGTTCCTTGTAAATTTATCATACCATTGTGAATACTTTTTTTAGTTACTTATAATTGTAAAATTATAATACTTATTATTATGTATATATTGATTATTACATTTATAAAAAAATTTATTATTATGTAAACATGTTTGTGATATACTTGAAAATATATTTTGTACTTCGTATGTTTTTTTTTCTCATTTCCAATATAAGAAATTATTTAGGTTTTCTTATTTTGAATTACGTATGCGAACCATATCTAGGAATAATACCAGCGGTTGATTTATATACTGAACAAGTGCTGCCTTCTTCAGATCGCTAAAAATATTAAAATGGCGGTAATGTCTCAGATAGCGATCTATTTATGTTTACTTATCTATGTACACCGGTTTATATATCACATCCATAGATAAAAGAAGATATACTGTAGTAACTTCTACACTTTTTTCTACTTATTAATATAAATATTAAGTGAAATTTAGTAAATAATGCATTATAGTCTTAGTTCATTACATCGTCTGTCATTCTTAACTCTCATTAACTAATAATCTTCCCGTGATAAATTTGACATTCTTAAGCAATTCATTTTCTCCCAAGCATATTAGATCCGTGTGAAGTGGTAATCCAATTTTAAACAGCTTGAAGATTTCCATTTGTGTGATATATCTTTCTTATAGAAGCTTATACTTGATTTCTTACATAATTTCCTAGAACTGGCCTCTTTCGTTAAAGTGTATTATGATTAGACTAATGTGTCAATGCACTACGTAATTAAGTCCTCCATATGAGTTTGAAGCTGTTCTATTCATATTGTCGAGCTGCTATGCATTTGAGAGCAATTTCTAATGAAATCTTTATTAACAAATATACAAACACAAACGAACAAGAATCGCCATTTTGTAAACTGACACAAAAATAACACTGACGTTTCTTAGTAACCGACATAAAACATTTGAAAATACTTTTTCATCGGCTCACTAGCGCCAAATTTGCGACTACAAATGGACCCCTCAGTCATGGCCTGTATTCTCCGAACAAATGTTGAGAACTTACGCTTACTTATCCATGCCCTCAGTAGCCATGAAATGATGAAAACCACCCACTGATAGTCACAATTAGTTTATATTTATTACGGCGCTGCAATCACACTCTGGGCGAATATGCTTATTTATCTATGATGTATCTATGGATGTTTACTTATCTATGTATGCATTCGTATGTATTTTTTTGATGTTTCTCGCATGGCCGATAATCTCCGAACAAATGAAGATTACCGTGTTTTGAAATGGATTGGTATTTGAATAGTTCGAAGGATGGCGCTACGATTTCCAATTTCATTGATCTAGCAGCTGGCTTGTTGATCTACATTGATTTGATCGGCCATCTTCTATAAGTTGTCAAGTTGTCATCGCGTATTGTAGTTGAGATTTTCTGTGATTGTTTATATATAATTATGTTTTGGTGAATACTTTTTTCATTTATTATTAAGTTAAAATGATAAAGTGTTATGTGCCAAATTGTTATAACCCCAAATATAATAAAAAAATGCATGTCTATAATGATGTATTATGCATATAATGAATATGTATCATCACAATACTATTAAAATGTTATATATATATATATATATATATATATATATTTGTGTAAATATATATTATATATATTTGTGTGTAAAAACTTGTGTGTATAAAGATGCTTTCAATTTGGATGCAGAGGGCGAATAATCTTTTAATGGATGACCTAACTCTTCGGTTTGTGGCACAAATCAACGATAATTTGAAATCGAAACCAAATAGAAGTGTCTCCTTTACGGCAATAACAAAATAGTTTTCAAGTCACTGGAGAATGCTCTGATACAGAACCAGAAGAACAATCTGCAACTCTAAGGACAAGGACAAGTAAATATAACTCTAAATACTTCAATAACATTTGCAAAAAAATATTAATAAATGAATCTTATGTTCTTAGGAGATGGAAGCCTAAACACCTTGAAAAAGATTTTTGCAGCACCTCTAAGATTGTGAAGTGCAGGTTAAAAGTCACCTATTCTGACACCAGTTTTCCGAAAAGGTATTTTTTCATACTAATTGCAGCAAAAATATTTAATATGATAATTACAATATCTTCAATTAATATGATATAACAATATATTCAATAGAAGTCCTTGATGGTAGCTGCAAATTGCCGCAGAATGCAATGATAAGGCGTAGGAGTGCCTTAACACCCAGAAGATGTATGATACATCAAATTTTGTTTCGGAATTAAAATGCAATGCAATAACTTAAAGGATAAATTCCAACAGAGTATACAATGTTCTGAGAAGTTTTCAAATATTCCGGAAACTTAAAATGTAAGGGCAAGAATTTTGATAATGTCTCAATTAAGAGAGCATACTCAAAGACCAGACAGTTTATAAAGCGCAAGGGTTTAGTTATAGTTTTAACTAAACCTCCTTGCAATAAAAACTGGATTAAAACGATAGATAGATTTGAGCTACAATTGGTATAAATTAAAAGTAGTTCAGGGTTTTGGTTACTTACGTTTAAAAAAACCCTTATACAGAAACTATTCAAGAATTTCGTCAAATATAACTTTATTAATGATTGATTAGATAGCAAAATAACTATTAAATGGAGAGATAATAAACAAGAATGTCTCATAAATGAATTTTAATCCTAGGAATTTAGTTTTATCTCAATTTGGATATCAATATATATGTTTTGTTTTTAGGATTATTTTGTTTGGAAAGTATTCATTCTTTTTTAAAAATGTGCTGTTCTTTTTATGCTTTTAAATTATTGCATTACTTGTCATTCCTTCTAAATTTGTCATTACATCATCAATACTCCTGCACTTTTTACTTCTTAGTTTTTAAGTTTTTAATATATTATTATTAGTCATTAAGTAATTAATATGAATAAGTTATTTCTAGAATATTAATAGAATAAGTACTTTAAAAATATGTCTGTAATATATTTTAATTAATAGTAGTCAGTTATTTCTGTTTAGTTTATAATTCTTCAAAAATATGTCTGTGATATATTTGAAAATATATTTTGTATTTCGTATGTTTTGTTCTTATTTCAAATAATATTTTTTTTCAGATTTTTGGGCTGTATTGATTTTATGTACAAATGTAGAAGTAATACCAGGGGTTAATTTACATACTGTATGTACATGTGCTGCCATGTAGTGATCTATTCGTATATTAAAATGAGTGTAACGTCAAATGGCCCGAGATAGCGATCTATTTATGCTTATTTATCTATGGTTTCTCGGCCGCAAATTTACCCTCATACCATAGAACATCTTTTGACACTTTTTATGCGCTCGACTAGCAGTCCATGTAATATAAGGTCTATGGAGTTACCTGAGTCACTCATTTGTTTTGTTGTTTACCGCATTGACAATATGAGAATATATTGTCATTGTAAAATATAATATATTCATATTGTTTTTCGTAATTATAAATCTTTGATTAAATCAGCTAAAATGGATATTTCAAAAGTATCGAATGAGCGTAAACTATATTTATGCCGATGGTATTTTCGAGGTGTGTGGCTTTAATAAACTTGTCACAAATTTCAATGTTGTTCATTCAAATTTATTTCAGCTGGTTTTGCAATACTTCCTTTTGTTTGGGCAATCAATTCTATATGGTTTTTTGATGATGCCTTTAAGAAGAGTTATTTTGAGCAACAAAAAGACATAAGAAAATGTATTCAGATTTATTTACAAATGACTCATATATGAAAAATATACGATATTATAATATTATTGATTACTTTCATTGTAGATGTCATTTATTCTGCAATTGGAACCTTTATTTGGATTGCTTTGTTGTCAGCTTGGGTAACAGTATTTCAACTAAAACGAGCATCTTGGGAAGACTCAGGTGATCTTCTTTCTTTCATAATACCATTAGGATTTGCTTAACAACAAAGCATATACATACAGTACATACACATGAGAAATGTAAATAAATCTGTATAATTATTTTACTTAGTGTTAAAATGTACTTTCAAAGAGTGTTAAAAAGATAAAATGAATAAAACTATCAATGATTACATAATTTAGAAACTTTTTTAGTTGTGATCTCGTATAACTAATGTTCCTTCGGCGATAGCTATTAAATTAATTTTTATTATACATTAGAATTTAACGTAATTATTTTTATATACAGTTAAACAGTACATTTACATTGATCTCTTTTTTCAAAACCTGAGTATCTGTAATTGCAACGCATTTCAAGTACATTTTGTATGCTTGCAGTTCAAGCAATTAAACTTCAACCTGGCATAAAAGGTTTAGATACCTTACCATATAGAATTCTCCTATTTTATAGGTAACTAGCTGTACTCGATCATGCAATGGCATGTTATACTTCCAATTAGAAACTTGAACCAAAATGCATTTTTGTTACATATATTAATTATGAAGGTAAATGAGCTGTTTTAGAAGCATCAGAGAGTTAAATGTTAAATTTCTCACAGGGTTCCCAAAATTAATAACATACATGCAAGACCATTGACTGTCTTAAAAAGATGTTGGCCCATGAATATTGACCCATAAAAATCTTAGATAAGATAATTCTGCATTATTCAGATGTGTACAGCATATAGAGGACCCAATTCATGTTTCGAATATAATTTCAGGCATCCTTGCACTGCCTTTCCAGCTACTACTATGAAATTTTTTTGATGGTGTATTCCACCTAAATTAACTTGTTAAAATAAATACCATGTATTTTATGATAGAAACTTAATAAAGCAAAATTAGAATTAAAGGACCTTTTCTGACATTTCTAAGAATTATATAAATTATTTCAGACATATACATGAGCTATAGAAAGGGTACGGGCGTGTTTTCATACGGAATCAGCCCCACCCTGGCATTTAAATGATTTTGATGCCATTTTATAGGCCTTTTCAAAAAGAATCGAAATACAATTTTCAACTTTCTAGCTCATCATTTAGCAGAGATCATTGAAATGACAAATATCATTAAAATGTACTTCAAAGAGTGTTAAAAAGACAGAATGAATAAAACTATCAATGATTACATAATTTAGAAACTTTTTTAGTTGTGCTCTCATATAACTAATGTTTTTTCGGCAATAACTATTAAATTAATTTTTATTATACATTAGAATTTAACGTAATTATTTTTATATCCAGTTAAACAGTACATTTACATTGATCTCTTTTTTCAAAACTTGAGTATCTGTAATTGCAATGCATTTCAAGTACATTTTGTATGCTTGCACTTCAAGCAATTAAACTTCAACCCCGCATAAAAGGTTTAGATACCTTAAATATAGAATTCTCCTATTTTATAGGTAACTAGCTGTACTCGATCATGAAATGGCATTTTATACTTCCAATTAGAAACTTGAACCAAAATGCATTTTTGTTACTATATTCATTATAAAGGTAAATGAGCTGTTTTAGAAGCATCAGCGAGTTAAATGTTAAGTTTTTCACAGGGTTCCCAAAATTAATAACATACATGCAAGGCCATTGACTGTCTTAAAAAGATGTTGACCCATGAATATTGACCTATAAAAATCTTAGATAAGATAATTCTGCATTATTCAGATGTACAGCATATAAAGACCCAATTCATCTTTCGAATATAATTTCAGGCATCCTTGTACAGCCTTTCCAGCTACTACTATGAAATTTGTTTGATGGTGTATTCCACCTAAATTAACTTGTTAAAATAAATACCATGTATTTTATGATAGAAACTTAATAAAGCGAAGTTAGAATTAAAGGACCTTTTCTGACATTTCTAAGAATTATATAAATTATTTCAAGTATATAAGTAAGCTATAGAAAGGGTACGGGCGTGTTTCTATACGGAATCAGCCCCACCCTGGCATTTAAATGATTTTGATGCCATTTTATAGGCCTTTTCAAAAAGAATCGAAATACAATTTTCAACTTTCTAGCTCATCATTTAGCAGAGATCATTGAAATGACAAATATCATTAAAATGTACTTCAAAGAGTGTTAAAAAGACAGAATGAATAAAACTATCAATGATTACATAATTTAGAAACTTTTTTAGTTGTGCTCTCATATATAACTAATGTTTCTTCGGCAATAACTATTAAATTAATTTTTATTATACATTAGAATTTAACGTAATTATTTTTATATCCAGTTAAACAGTACATTTACATTGATCTCTTTTTTCAAAACTTGAGTATCTGTAATTGCAATGCATTTCAAGTACATTTTGTATGCTTGCACTTCAAGCAATTAAACTTCAACCCCGCATAAAAGGTTTAGATACCTTAAATATAGAATTCTCCTATTTTATAGGTAACTAGCTGTACTCGATCATGAAATGGCATTTTATACTTCCAATTAGAAACTTGAACCAAAATGCATTTTTGTTACTATATTCATTATAAAGGTAAATGAGCTGTTTTAGAAGCATCAGCGAGTTAAATGTTAAGTTTTTCACAGGGTTCCCAAAATTAATAACATACATGCAAGGCCATTGACTGTCTTAAAAAGATGTTGACCCATGAATATTGACCTATAAAAATCTTAGATAAGATAATTCTGCATTATTCAGATGTACAGCATATAAAGACCCAATTCATGTTTCGAATATAATTTCAGGCATCCTTGTACAGCCTTTCCAGCTACTACTATGAAATTTGTTTGATGGTGTATTCCACCTAAATTAACTTGTTAAAATAAATACCATGATGTATTTTATGATAGAAACTTAATAAAGCGAAGTTAGAATTAAAGGACCTTTTCTGACATTTCTAAGAATTATATAAATTATTTCAAGTATATAAGTAAGCTATAGAAAGGGTACGGGCGTGTTTCCATACGGAATCGGCCCCACCCTGGCATTTAAATGATTTTGATGCCATTTTATAGGCTTTTTCGAAAAAAATCGATATACAATTTTCAACTTCCTAGCTCATCATTTAGCAGAGATCATTGAAATGACAGATATCATTGTTAAATTGGCTCCTTTTTTCTACCTCACTTTTTGTCGGAAATATAAAAAAAGATATGGAAAAAAAATTAACATGAGTCTAATTACACTGATCTTGTCTATGTTGTTCATAACAAATAACGTAAAAATAATGTCTGTTAGTGCTCGAAAAGGTGGAAATAATATTTCATGTTCCATTTTGGTGACCCAAAATATATATTTTTGGGTCACCAACAACAAAGCAAGGTGCTACTGGTAGAAAATGGAAAATGAAATATTATTTCCACCTTTTTGAGCACTAACAGATATATATCCCAGTAAACACGCGATGTGATCTTCTATAATATCGACATCGTTATTATAATGCGGTTATCGAATCTACGCCACAAGAGGATTTTAAACTTGCGTGCGCTTGTGTGTGTTACAATACACGCAAAGCTCGCATTGAGTTGTCTCACGAGACATAAACACGCGCTGTCGGGGGTAATGACATCGTTGAATTTCATGTGAGATACATGTCGTGCGCTGGTGTGTGTTAGCACACATGCAAAGCATAATCAATGACGTCACACGGCGTGAAGCAAACGCGTCGTGCGCTGCGTTGTGTGCGTTGTGTGCTGGTGTGTGTGACCATACAAAGAAAGCTTTATATCAGCGCGCCGTGGCCACTGGCTGAACCGACTCAAGCGGTTTGACTGTTCCTTTGACGAAAGCTAAACTAACCGCATACAAAATGGCGCAATATGTCAGGAATTTGTCATGTATCAAGTTATATTTTCTTTTGTATAATAATTACATTCGTTTAGTTAAGCAACTTGTTCATAGTGATAATTGTAGAAAAGTGTAGAAAAATGACACCGTAAGTATATCATATATTATTTATATAGATATGTAATTACTTCACGATTTTGAATTCCATTTAGTGCATTATATCCTGGGATGAAGAAACGTTATTTTATGTCGATTTCTTTAGATGACAAAGGAGGTAACCAAATAGCATATCTTACAAAATCTGAGGACAATAATAAGGATCGTTTATCAAGGTTAAAATAATTATTTTACTAAATTAAGACATTAACATATCCATGTGTTCGACATAACCTCACTTCTTAAATCTCTTAAATTAGTCGGTTGAGAAGCGGATCGAGAATGATTGTTTGAATATGTAAGTCACTACAAATATAATAGCTATACAAATATATATAAACAGCAAACACGTATGCCATGTTCATATTTATTTCAGAAGTCGTACAAAATTGGAATGAAACGATGAACAATATACAGATCTTTAGACAGGCTCAAATAATGTATGTTTAGGAGCAAATTGAAGATAATGGAGATTTATCTTCTTTATACATATGTTGATTCATATATAGTTGCTGTATATATATTATTTGGTAACAAATACATTATATTTATAATTGTTTTAGAAAACCTCTAAAATTGGGAACAGTATGTCATATATGCATGAACTTGATTGATGTATTGATGTATAATGAACTGAAGATATAATGAATTCAATCAGGTTAAAAAAAATGTATGTGCAAAAGCGACTCGAAGACGATTTAGATTTGTCTCCTGAATATGTAAGTTGCTACACATATGGAGTGGTATATATATTATTAGATTCAATAAAACACATTATGTTTCAAATTGTTTTAGAAAACTTCCAAGAAGTACATCATATATGAATATCCTGTATCCTCGCATTTGATGTATTGAACTGGCGATAGAATGAAATCAGTCAGTGTTAAAAATGTATGTGTAAAAGCGACTTTAAGATGATGGAGATTTGTACACTGAACATGTAGGTAGCTACACATATGGTAGCTGTATATATATATTATATTATATACAGTAAATCACATTATGTTTGAATTTGTTTTAGAAAACTTCCAAAATTTGGGGCAGTATGTCATATGTGCATAATCTGTATCCTGGCATTTGATGCAATGAACTGGCGATAGAATGAAATAATGAAAAATAGGCAGGCTGTTTGATGTATAAGGAAGTGGCGATAGAATACTTATGCAACACTTCACACTTCACGCCCCAAAAATAGAATTACGTTCATTAGATATACAACAATTTTCATTAAATATACTGTTATTAATATGTTAAGATTGAATAATTTGTAAAAAGTTTTCTAGTATAGTTCATGTTAAAATTTTATAATTTCAAAACTACAATTCTAATTTGTAATATTTAAATATTGTAAAATTTCTTATTATTCACGTAAATAAATGCTTATTCGTACAGAAAAGAATATTAATTGCATTACGTCATCACTTTCAGGTGCTATTACGTCATAACTGAGTCGCCATTTTGTATGACGTCATGACCGAATCGTTTTCATTCGCCAATGACGTCATGACTGGGGTGAACGCCTTACGTCAGACGGTCTTATCATAATAAACAAACATATGTGGGTCAACGTCGATTTTCATGTATCACGAACGCCACGTGCGCCAGAGACCGAACCTCGATAGTTGTTCGATAGTTACATAAATTTGCGGCCGTATCCATTAAATATCGAGGAAAATGAATATGGGAACCGCATGTCACACGACCTAAATAAAATATTGCCACGATGTTGTGGCCATATCGCATGTTTACTGGGATATATGCCCAAAAATATATATTTTTGGGTCACCAACAACAAAACAAGTTGCTACTGGTAAAAAATGGAAAATGAAATATTATTTCCACCTTTTCGAGCACTAACAGATATTATTTTCTATTATATACTAATATTAGTATATAATAGAAATCTAAATTGAACAAATTAGTTGTAGAATCCTGGACATAAGGTATTATTCAATATATAGTTAGCTTTTTATTCTATATACGTATTTTATAAGGTCTATGGAATGCACCCCAGACAACACAAGACATCCTGGAAAACGTCCACAGGATATCCACGCGCGGACATTCATTGTCCCTGCGATAGCCTTACGGATATCCCGCTTATCCTGATCTTATCCGAAACATGTTAATATGTCGCACCTATGGGACGTTCTGTAGGATATCCCGCGCGGGATATTCCGGACATAAACCGGACATGAATAGGATATAATTATGGAATTGTTTTTTACTTTTTAGATGAAAAATAAATTTGGATTAAAAATAAAATAAAAGAACACAATTTCACAAAGTAAACTTTTATTACAAAATAACAAAATCCTGAGATAATTTTATAACAAAATTTAATATATACAACTTTAACTCAAAATAACTTATTTTACAATATTAAAAATATAATTAATTCGGCATTCAATCCTAGTTCATGGTTGATTTTTTCTCCTGAAATAGAAAACAAATGAATAAATGCATATATATGTATATATATGAGTAAGTTCTTTAAGAGCAATACATGAATCAAAATAGACAGAGATTTATAAAATAATCTCTAATTCCAAATATATCGACACAATTTGATGTCATTACGAGTGAATATTAAACTTGGTTTTTTACATCTAAAAATGTGTACTCAGCACAAATTTTGCACTAACATTGATACAACTAACCAGTCAATTATCATGATTTTTTTGTAAATAGGAAAAACATATAGTACACATCTCACAAAAATACCTTGTATAATATTTATTGGCACGTCGCAGCCAGCTTTTTGCAGCCTCTGAAACAGTAAACTATGTCTCATGCGGCAAATTTTTCAAAGCAATTCCTGGAATTAATTATATATTAGTTTAATTCATAATTTACAACACATCATAAGTATAAGATATATAAATTACCTGTGATGACATCGCAAGGCACTAGATCACAAAATTTATTTTTGCCCTTTCCTCGTCCCTAGCAAAATTCTTTGTCCAAACCATCATCAAAAATGGATTTTCATAGATGGACTCTGATGGCTAAATACAGAATATAAAGAGAAAGTTTGTTTAGTATATGATAAAGTTAACAAATAAAAATAAATCTATATAAACTTTTGATTACCAATTGTATTTTGATATCTTTGCTCAGAAGAATAGCCTCCATAAGTTGAAGCTCCTCCAACAAACATAGTGGAGAGCATTTCTTCTTTGTTAATTCTCTTTCAAACACAGCATTTGATGCAAAATTAGGCATGGCTGCTGGATAAGCTGGCAGGGTAGAAATGTCAGCATTAAATTAAAAATTCTATTTGTACTAGTAACATAGTATTTCAAATAACAGTATACATAAAGCTTTAATTACCATCGTTTATATCTGCCCCCCTTTCAATATGTTGCTGCAATATTTATAGCACACGCGAACATATAATTATATAGACCACATAACATTTCCACTATTATTACTCAATTTTAGAGTATTTTGATAAATAATATTAATTATTTATAACACACGCTCATATAATTATATAAAACAAATAAAATTTCCACTATTATTACTCAATTACTCAAAAACTATGACATATAGCGTCTATTGATAACGCGTAAACCTTAAAGGACGCTCCATGCCTACAGCCTACAGCCGACGCGACGGCGAAGAGAAAGGGACAAACATATACGTTTAGAGGTCTCAAGCCGTGCGCGTATGAGATCGACATGTCGTGAACCGTTCGTTATACCTGCTCGAGTCCTTTGGTTTTGAGACGTCCCGTTGCATATTCATAGGATATTCATAGGATATCGCGATATTAGGAGATTGTGAGGACAAGTGGGACATTCCCTGGCATGTCTTGTGCTGTCTGGGACCTATAGTAACAGTTATTAACAATTATTATAACCGAAATTTTAAACAAAAACATAAAATATTTGTTTGTTTCAAATTTAAATAAGATAATTAAAAATGAGCCACCAAAGCTGTTGTATAGTGGGTTGTAGAAATACTAGCAGAAAAAGTGACTGCAAATTCTATACATTTTCTACAGCTAAGTGGAAAGAAAATCAAGGGAAAAAGTGGATCGCCGCGGTTAGAAGAATAAAGTAAGTATCATAACCTTATTGTTATTAAAATTCAATTCGGAGTATTATGAATAGTTTTAAAATTGTTATGTTTAGCAAAAAGAAAAATTATAAGTCAATAAATTGTTATATTATCAAAATTTAATTCTTACTAGAAAAAATTGTTTTGCGAACTATGTAATTAATACAAGGCTGAAATCATACTCTTCTTTTATCTATGGCTAAAATAATGAAATATATATATTTATATATTGTATATTGATTATGTATAACTATTATCTATATATTAATTACATTTTATTATATAATATTTGTAATTTTATGATTAAAAGAAAAATAAAAGTTATCACATAGCGCTAAAATGTTTATTTTGCAAACAGTTTAATTAATACAATGCTGAAATAATGCAAAATATATATTTGTAGTGTTGATGGATCACCGCCATGGGTTCCCAAACCCAACCCAGTAAACCACAGAAGTTACCACCACGTAACACATTTTGTAACTTTCGTTTCGAAACTGATGTTAAGTAAACGAACCGATGCTGTTACGTATAGTTGTGAGCTTTAACCACCGTCGACGCGTTTAAACGTTTACAATACTGCTTTGTTCGCATCTGTCGGTACGTGGCGTGGTACGTTGCACGGTCACATAGATTCGCCTTTGAGAATAGCCGTGAAGTGTTTTATGATCGAAATGTCAAATTAAATATAGGTTAACTCGGTCAGTGCATCGTGGACGCATAATTGAGTATTTTATCGTGTATGTTTGAAATGCAAGATATTTCCTTTATTGAAGCGTTATTTATTAATTGCTTTTATATTTAGTGCGAAATCAGTTGTAGAAATTAGTTAAACAGTCAGCTGGAAAAGTATTTAATATGAAACCGACAAACAAGGTGAGTCTAATTGTACTGAAATATATTTTAATTTATAAATTATTATAATAATGTTTAGTCCTTTGCAGTATATAGGCCGCCTTCAATGCAAAGTCTGTTCATGTATTGTGATAATTGATTTGTCATGTAATAATTGAAATTTCTAACACACCAGTCAGAAACATAACCTCAATTCAGTGATATATGAATAAAGAGAAGTAAGTTATATAGTTTTATACATATTCATTTTTTATAGTTCCATTAGTATCAGAACTATTTAGCTAAGCACAAATTGATATAAGTTGGTTTTCAATTGTAGAGAAAATTATAGTGCTGATAACCCCTACGAAAATGAATTTCAAGCTAGGGAAATTTTCTCCAATAGAGAAGATAAATACAAAGTTAGATAATATATTAGAAATTATTAATCCTTTGTCACCAAAAAAAAAACAAGCAAGGCTTAAAAACATGCAAGAAGAAAAATAAGAACACATATCGATAAATAAGAACACATATTAAGATTAAGTGTTGAAAAGAAAATGAATTGTGGAGTATTTCTTAAGTGATGATATTGTATTACAGAATAGGTATATTAATGTTTTACACAAAGAGAATTTTAACTAATATGATTTAGTACTAATTTGTAATGTTTTACTTTTAGGAAATTCACATATTTAATACGAAACCAGCAAAGGTGAGTATAATTGTACTGTTTTTTTTTAATTTACAAATTATTATATTAATGACTAATTAGTTATTTTCAGTATATAGGTCATGTGCAATGCAAATTCTGTTTATGTATTGTGATAATTGATTTATCACATAATTATTGAAATTTCTGACAGACCAGTCAAAAATCACATAACCTCAATTCAGTGATATGATATGAATATTATAGGTAGATAAGTGTAATATATATGGTATCATACATATTCTTTATAATTTCATTAGTATCAGAACTCTCAGTTAAGCAAAAACTGATATAAATTGCTTTTCAATTGTAGAGAAAGAGTGCTCATAACCCCTATGGGTTATGTCAAAATGGAATTCAAACTAGGGAAATTTGCTCTAATCAAGGAGATAAATTGTCACCAAAGAAACAAGCAAGACTTAAAAACATTCAAGAAGGAAAACAAAGAATGCACCGGATATCACACATTATATGGATTAAGTGTTGAAGAGAACATGAATTGTTGAGTATTTCGAGCCTGATGATCTTGCATTACAGAATTTTAACTAATATGATTTAGTACTAATTTGTAGTGTTTTACTTTTAGGTAATTCAGATCTTGAAAATTAATAGGATAAAATCAATGCAAGAAAATTGAGTGTGTGTTTATGGAATAATTATCTCTGTCATATGATCGTAGGAACTACATAGTCATTAACTTCAAATAATGAGTATGCTTAGAGGTAATGTTCACAAATGACTAATTTGTTCACAATGTTTTCAATTCAAAATTTGTGTACAATGTTTCTAAGATGTTTGGTTCTATTTTAGATACATTAACAGATGCAAGTGAGTTGAACATATTTAACGCAAGACTTAACTTTGCCAAGTCTGATTTAACTGAAATTGCCAAGAGAGTTAAACATAATACATATTATGAATAAATAAATAATTATTTTTATAGGCTAACATTTTATGGACTATCAAATTTTAGTTTTCTAATGTTAACTATGTAATATGTAAATTTTGTATATTGTAAATGATAATATTTAATAAAATTACTAAATATCCGAAATTATTATTAATATTCTATATTTGCAGGAAATTTAATTAAATAAGTATGTAACATAAAAGACACCTACACGCTTTTTTATTCAATTTAGATACGTAGCAAAAATGTAACCGCGGTGTATTAGTGTGCAACGAAACAGCCGTTACGTTCTTGCCCGCGAAATAGATACTTCTGTGTGCCTCCCAGGTTACGTACCTGATTCGTGCGGACGTGCCAGCGTTACGTAACGTTCATGGCTTTGTTACGTTTTGTGGTTTACTGGGAAAATCGCCATGATCGCATTTGCAGTGAGCATTTCTATAGAGAAAAAAAAAATCGAACGAGGTATTGAGTCCTATCTACTTGCCAACAATATTTCCTTCAATTTACAAGCCTTGAAAAGTTAATGTAGTTTTTTTTCTGCAATTTTATTTGATGGATAATGGAATCAAATCATGTCTTTATAATAATGTCTATTGTAAGTCTTTAGTTTGACCAAAAATAATAAAAATATGAGTAAATTAATTTATTATTTACTTATTCTATTGATAAAATATTTTTATCATTATTATATTGTTTTTATTATAAACTATTCCGAGACATAAGCTTTGAGGCATTTAACCTTAAAAATGTTTACTGCATTTCTTTATTTAATTAATCATTATACTTAATTATGTTTTAAGTACGTTGAAGTAAATTTAATAATTTCAACAAAAATTCAGCGTTCACATTATTAGTGTATCTTGTTAATTATTATTTATAACAATTATTTAATTTTTTTTTCTTTAACAAACATATAAAACCCATGAAAACCACACACTGATAGCCCTAGACAATATAATAGCCACAATTAGTTCATATTTATTACGGCGCTGCATGGGTGCTGCAGTCGCTGCAGTCACGCTCTGAGCGAATACAGATACGTCTGTGGCCGGCTTTAGTAACCAACATAGATAAGTAAACATAACTAGATCGCTATCTGAGGCCATTTGACATTACCGCCATTTTAATATTTTTAGCGATCTAAAGGAGGCAGCACTTGTTCAGTATATAAATCAACCGCTGGTATTATTCCTAGATATGGTTCGCATACGTAATTCAAAATAAGAAAACCTAAATAATTTCTTATATTGGAAATGAGAAAAAAAATATACGAAGTACAAAATATATTTTCAAATATATCACAAACATTTTTACATAACAATTAAAATTTTTATAAATGTTATAATCAATATATACACAATAATAAGTATTATAATTTTACATTTATAAATAACTAAAAAAAAGTATTCACAATGGTATGATAAATTTACAAGGAACGATCAATATGATTTACTTAATGATCAATAATATATAACAGAGATTGTGTAGTTCGGAATAACAAATTCAGAAGGAATCACAAATAATGCAAAAATTTAAAAAGTTAAAAAGAACAAATAACTTGTTAAAAAGTACAAATACTTCATAAACAAAAAATCATAAGAACATAATATAATAATATTATAAATAATATTTATATATATATAAATATATTGATATCAAAATTGAGAGTAAACTGAATTCCTAGGATTAAAATTCATTTACGAGACATTCTTCTTTATTAACTCTGCATTTAATAGTTATTTTGCTATCTAATCAATCATTAATAAAGCTGCATTTGACGAAATCTTTGAATAGATTCTATATGAATGTTTTTTTAAACATTACATTCAACCGTGTCATGATCATGATGAAAACGTTATCATCAAAATTGCCATAAAAGATCAAAAAGTATCAACATTGTGTTTACTATGAACAGAAAAAAGTTTTATGCACGTGCAATTGTTCATCTACATCAACAATAAGAGATTTTAAATCAGAACTATTAACCCCACCTTCAGAAAAGTAAAAAGCAACTGGTTGCTTCCAACGATTCTTCACTCCTTTAATCATGAAAACAAGTGCATGATCCCCAAATAAACATTTTCTGCCATTTGCTAACTCTACAAAACCAACGATGTGATCCTTTTTACGATCATATGACAATTCTGAAGATAGTGATATTTCATCAAACATCAAAACACAGTATTTGCTACTCTCATACTTTTTATGAGAAATAGCTGAACTTAATGTATTAAAAAGACACTCATTTATACCGCTATACAAAGGTATCTCTGAAAGCAACTTTCTCAATGTTTGAGGAGATGGCAAAATAAATATTTGTCTCCAAAAGTAGTAAGCCTTTGGAGACTTTTTATACAAACTTAAAGCAAGAATTTTGTCCTCGTCTGTGAATTTTCTTCCTTTCGGTCTTTTAGTATGCTCTCTTAATTGAGACAATATAAAATTTCTTGCCCTTACATTTAGTGTTTCCGGAATATTTGAAAACTTTTCAGAACATTGTATACTTTGTTGCAATTTATCCCTTAAATTATTACATTGTTTGTTAATTCTTCTTATCTCCCAGAACAAAATTTTGGATGTATCATACATTTTACACCTCCTGGTGTAAAGCAACGAAAAGAGTTAAAGCACTTCTACGTTTAATCAGTGAATACTGAAGCAATTTGCAGTTACCTCCTAGGACATCTATTAAATATAATAACATGTTGTAATATCACAATTGATTAATTAATTATTATTGCTGTAATTAATATAAAAAAATACCTTTCCGGAAAACTGGTGTCAGAATAGGTGACTGTTTTAACCCGCACTTGACAATCTTAGGGGTACTGCAAAAATCTTTTCTGAGGTTTTTAGGTCTCCATCTCCTAACTGAAAATATAAGATTAATTTGTCAGTAATTTTCTGCAAAAAGTATGTGTTCCATAAGTAAGTTCCATAATGCTCAAAGAAGCTAACAAAGGAAGCATATTAATGTATAAATTATTAAAAAAAAGGTAGAGTACCTGAGTTAAGTGAGCAACAATATCATGTAAAATTAATGTCTAAACAACTTGTATTTATCTACCTGAGATGGGATTAATATTCTTTGACAATCGGTATGTCTATGCTTTCACATTACATTTGCGAATCGACACACCAAGTTCTAAAATAATATAAGTTTTTTAAAATCTAACTATCAAATACATATATAAATTTTATTATTATTCTTACGGAATCTATGTTTATCCAGGAGACAATTCTCTTCTAGGTAAGGATTCCCAACAAATCGGTAGGGCATTAATTTTCAAATTTGTCTTCGAACTTTTTGGCAAATTTTCAACTTTACAAACATTTGTAAAGTGCGCGTCACAGACATAACAACGTTTGCCACAATATAATGGAGTTAAATCGTCCATTAAAGGATTATTAGACCTCTGCACCCAAATTGAAAACATCTAAAACATTTTCATTATATTTTTATTATACAAATTTATTATATAAACACAATACATCATTATATACATACCTGATCATTAGATGCCGGAAAGACATGCAACTTTATATTATTTCTGGAGTTACCACAATTTGGTTCACTGCACTTTGCCATATTAATTTGATAATAATTCCTTGAACACAATTAATTATAAACAAAATACTTCACAACGTAAATAAATGCTTCACTATATAAGAAGGTAAAATGGCGATTAATTTCCGCTCAGCCATCTATTTTCTGTTCGATTAATGAGATCGAAACAAGTAGCGACATCTTTTTTTCGCTAAAAATATTAATCCTCGCCAAAACAGTGTAACGAGCATTTGTTCGGAGATAACTCCCCATGGTAACCAACATAAAACATCTGATAATACTTTTTCATCGGCTCAGTAGCGCCAAATTTGCGACTACAATTGGACCCCTAGGTAGACCTTCTGAACGCGGATTTTGTTCTGAGATAATAGGCCCTGAATATAAGGTCTATGGTTCTTATAGCTAGAGCTGTCAAGCGGACGCCATATATCTAGCATGTACTTTACGCTGATCTAAGCATAAGAGTTGAGTTTTAAATTGTGCTGCATTTTAGTAATAAATTGTGCTGCATTTTAGTAATAAATTGTGCTAGAAAACTAATTTATGAACTTCCTGTACGATTAATTTAAATTTGTTTTGTTCTTTATATGTAATATTTTAAATATATTAAGTATTTTGTGGATTTACAATGGTGGATGATGATGTCGATATGTGCGAAAACGAAAGTTTGCTAAATAATAATAAAAATTTAAATATGGAATCGTGCTTTGCTGTAGGGAAAGAAATAGAATCCGTATTGTCTAAGTTCGAACATTTAAGCGAACAAGCAAAAATTATGCTCGCAGACATGTCGTCGCAGCTAGAGAATCTGAACAAAGATATTCAAGAAGCTCCTCCTTATATGCTGCTGACACCAGCGCAATCAACAATGATAAAGCAAATTTTAGACAGGGTGAAAGAGAATCTATTTCGCTTAACTGCTGATCATAAGGACCTTCATGGTAATGTGAGTAAGGTTGGAAAATCTATTGATCGAAATTTTATATCAGATTACTCTACTACAGATCGTGAAGATGTGTTTAGGGACCCCAAAAATACAGTATTGTTAAACCGAATTATAATTCAACATCTTCAATATAAGGGAATGGATGAAATTGCAGACACATTTGTAAATGAATGTGGTATGCCTAAAGAAATAGAAACCGTACATGAATCATATAATGAAATTAGATCAATATTAAGTGGCATCCAGAAGCACAACATTGAACCTGCTTTAAATTGGGCAATCACACATAGTGCCATTCTTGAAGCCAAAAACTCTTCCTTAGAGTTCAAGTTGCATCGTTTGGCATTTTTGCAAGTGATAGCACGTGGGGTGGATTGTCAGATAGATGCAATCAAATATGCACGATTGTATTTTCATAAGTTTGTAAAAAAATTTTCTCGAGACATTCAGATGCTTATGGGAATGTTGATGTATTTACCTCATGGTTTGAAGCACTCGCCTTATAGTCATTTACTATTGCCAGAGCTGTGGATTGAGGCAGCTCATTGCTTTGTTCATGATGCTTGCAGTGTTTTAGGATTAAATGCTGAAAGCCCATTAACTTTATCTATTAATGCTGGTTGCACGGCTTTGCCAGCTTTACAGAATATAAAGCAAGTAATGCAATCTAGACAAGTGCTTGGGATATGGAATGGAAGAGATGAATTGCCAATAGAAATTGATTTAGGACCTGATAATCGTTATCACTCGGTGTTTGCTTGCCCTATTCTGAGACAGCAAAGTACAGAGGAGAATCCTCCAATGAAATTAGTTTGTGGACATGTCATTTCACGTGATGCATTAAATAAACTATGCAATGGTTCAAAATTGAAGTGCCCCTATTGTCCAATGGAACAGTCGCCATCTGATGCAAGGCTGGTTTTCTTTTAGTTTTATTTGCTGTTGTTTCCAGTGCTATTTATTCTTAATTAAGATGGATATGATATATATATATATATATATATATATATATATATATATATATATATATATATATATATATATATGGTTATATTTTGTGCATAAAATAATCATAAATTGAAACATACACATATAATTGAAATTAGTTTTCATTTTTAGTGCATATATATATATATATATATATATATATATATATATATATAATATATTTATAAGTATATTTGAACTTAAAACTAGTCCCCATCCTCAGCCTTTTGTATAATTATTTTGATGAATTGTGTAAAAAATAAACACCTCTGATATCCTACAAAAGTTACCCTCCCTTGCATTATATTTTATGGCATTTTGTCAAAATTCCCATTCCCTTCACAAGTCATACATGTTTAACAGATGACCTCTTTCGAGTCCCATTTTGACTCTTCAGTGCATAAAACTACAAATAATCATATAATATAAGAAACAATGTACTAAATATTAAATATTTTAATAAGAATGGTCAAACAAAATATTTAAGATAAAGAAACCTAATGTTAAAAATGGTTTTACACAAAACCAATACAAAATGTATTAACTTAACAGCAAAAAATATAGATGATATAAAAATAAAAAGTATAAATCTGTTTTTCACAAATTCCAACTACCAATTTTTGACTTCAAGTTACATTTCTTAGGAATCTGGTCTACTCATTTTCGCCAAACAATGTACTAATACAATTTTTAATAGTTTTCGGAATACTATTGCTGCTTTCTCCTTTTTTTATTTATCTATTTCTATTGGATAATGTTCAAACTATTAGGGACAAGCATTTTTTTGGTTTACTTTTTTACATCGTGAGAGTGATGAAATTTGATATATATATATATATATATATATATATATATATATATTATAGTTTGTGAATGAATTTGCTAGTTTTAGAACGATGAATTAACTAATTGAAGAATTGAACAATCTCTCCTCTTGTCATTTCCCAAATGGAGAAACCCCAGTGACATGGGTGGCAAAATGCGACGTGCCCCCAACCCAAGGGGGCCCTGGCCGAGGAAAGAAAATAGAATCCGTATTTTCCGCGGGAAGCCGCGGGCTCAGAAATGTTTTTTAAATTGTACTTAAATTTTATTTCACTTTAAACCTATATTTTATATTTTTTATATTCTTAAAGTTTAAAGTCGGAGTTAATCATTAAGCGTTTCAACCAGGCTTGCATTGAACTTACATTCGGCCGAATAACAAATGGTTAAAAAAATAATATGTCATGAAAAATGAATGAATGAATTTATCATTGTATATATAATAATTTAAACTTCGATCGATTTTTGAGATTATAACCGAATATGTGAAGAAATCTTTTCTCAATATTCAAAGAATACATTATTGTTATAATTTTATGTTATTTAATATAAATCTTTTAACGGCTATGTGCATATGATGTATGTATATACAATTAAGTCATTCATTGTATTCAATCTACTGAATAAAGAGCTATCTTAGGCTTTTTATTACAGAAAATTCATACATTATTTTTTGTTTTGAAAATTAAGTTTTACTTTCAGAAGCAGATTATATTTCCGTGACTTGCGACATGTGGACTTTCATAATCATAATAGTTTTCTAAGTCTACTTCTTAATTTTGTTTATTATAATCGGCATTTTGCTGATTATACTATTTGTTGCAAGCCTAATTTCAACACATTCTAAACAAAAGGATTTTAATTCGTTTTAGAATATATCCACTGGTTTCTCCATATTTTTTCGCGTTTTCTTTAAATAGTTTTTTGAATTTTTAATTTCTTTGGATTTAATATAAAAATATGGAATAGTTTCTCAAGATTCAAATCTATTAAAGAGAGTGTGTCATCAATTTCAATAACATTAAAAACTAGTGGGGCGCATGGCATCGTGCCTTAAGGCAAATGGCTGGTACATGGGGAGTTATCTTCGAACAAATGCGCGTTGCACTGTTTTGGTCCTGAGTAGTTTCAATTTTTAAATACAGATGGCTCATGTGCACTCAATTTCAACTACAAATTGTTCGTGGTTCATGCAAGTGGCTGTCAAGTATTTGATCGCTGTATGGCTGTACGAATAACCTAACTTTTCGAACTCGTGTTGTTTCTAATTAATTAATTTTGTTTAAGTGAACATTTGTGAAATTTAATATGGCAAAGTGTTTTTATAGTACCCCAAAAAGTGTCAAGTGCGGGTTAAAATATTTAGCTATTCCAATACAAGTTTCCGCAAAGGTATTTTTTAATAATAATTGCAGCAATAATTATATATAATCAAGATATGTCAACATGTTATTATATTGAATAGGTGTCTTGGGGGTACCTGCAAATTGCTGCAAAATGCACGAACAAAGCGCAGGAGTACTTTAACTTTAAGTAACAATGCAATAATTTAAGGAATAAGTCGTACAAAAAGTCTCCAAAGGTCTACTATTTTTGGAGACAAATATTTATTTGCCATGTCCTCAAACATTGAGAAAGTTGCATTCAGAGATACAAGTGTATAGCGGTATTTATGAGTGTCTATTTAAAACATTAGGTTCAGCTATTTCTTTTAAAAAGTATTAGTAGCAGATACTGAGTTTTGATGTTTGATGAAATACCATTATCTTCGGAATTGTTATATGATTGGATTGAATCTCATATTGTTGAAGTTGCAAAACAGTTATTCAGCTAGTATGGTTTAAATGTTCATCAACGTAAGTTCATTGTTATATTTAATAAGATTATCTATTACATTAGCAAATGTAAACACTTATAGAGTCTGTACCATACATAATATTTTAATGTATTTTGATTGAAGATTAGTGTTATAATATTCTTCAAATAAAACTTGTGTAACATCCCAATATAATGTTTAAATTCAAGATATATTTGTTACCGACCTTGGGAATCAAAAATATTGCTTTTATCTTTTGATTCATAAACAATTGTATGTGCATAAAACATTATTCTGTTTATTGTAAACACTTTGTTGATCTTTTATGGCAATTTCAATGATAATGTTTTCATGATGGAACATGGCTAAATGTAATGTTATAAAACACTCGTACAGAAACTATTCGAAGGTTTTGTTAAATGCAACTTCACTATTAATTCATTAGATAGCGAAATAACTATTACATGCAGAATTAATAAAGAACAATGTCTCGTAAATGAGTTTTAATCCTAGGAATTTGAATTTCTCTCAATTTTGATATCAATATATATATTTTATGTTAATAGGACTTTTTTGTTTGTGAAGTATTTGTACTTTTTAACAAATTATTTGTTTTTTTCTTAACCCTTTAAATTTTTGTATTATTTGTCATTCCTTCTAAATTTGTAATTTCATTGCGTGCTCCTGTGCTTGTAGTTTCTTCTTAGTTTTTAAGATTTTAATATATTAATATTAGTCATTAAGTAATTAATATTAGTCAGTTATTTGTGCTTAGTTTAGTTAAATACTACTGCGATTTTCTTCACTTAGATATTTAGTTTTTGAAATATTATTTAAGCATAATTGTGAAATTATAATACTTTTATAATTATGTATAATAATTATTATATTTTCAACCATTCCATAACTGTAATTATAATTGTTAATATAAACATAATTTTAATTGTTCTTTAAACATATGTAATATCTTTGAAAATATATATTTTGTATTTCGTATGATTTGTTCTTATTTCCAATATTAAAAATTATTCAGGTTTTTGGGGCTGTATACGATACGTACAAATTAAGAAGTAAAACCAGGGGTAATTTAAATATTATACATGTGCTGCCATCTATTTTAAAAAATTTGTATTTCAATCGAGGTAACGTCAAACCGCCAGACATAGCGATCTATTATACTTGTTTATCTATGGGCTGGTACTTCCCGTACCGTAAAGATTAACATTTTTGAAAAAAATAACTCTGAAAAAATTAGATTTTTGAGAAACTATACATTTTTGACAAAAATTTACTTTTTTTGAAAAAAAAATATTTTGAAATATTTTGGAAATTCTGAACTTTTTTCAAAGCAATCGTACTGCTTTAAATGCATAGAGACGAAATATAGAAGCGCGTAAGCGCTGCGTCGCCGTCCTACGGATAAACATTGGTAGGGAACCTATAGAAATGTAAATAAAATTTATACTTATTGCTAAAATCTCTATAAAACATCTGATAATTTGATATGCATATGTCTAATGATCATTTTTGAATGGCATTTTTTTTACTTTTTTTATTAGATTTCCGAAACCCATAGACCTGCCTTCATGAAAATTTAATTAGTTGTTCATCTTGTTAATCCAAGTAAAATGTTTTTTGAATTATTCAAATCGGACGCTCCGTTCTCTTAAAAACTGAGTTACCGTTTTTGGCACTTTTTGCCTCATATCTTCGGAACGGCTCAACTTGCCTTTGCCAAAAACTAATCAGCACGTCTCCTTATCAATACGAATCGATTTTTTTTTGAATCATTCAAATCGCTTCATCTGTGTTCCCGAAATCGTCGACGAAAATTTGTATCCGCACACACACATACACACACACACATACATACACACACGCGTCAAAGAAAAACAGCCAAACTGTTGTGGTAATTGAAAAAGCGAGAGACACCGGAGCTGAAGCCGATGATGAATCCGTCGCTGAAGAAGTAAAAAAAAATGAGCACTGGAAAGAGAAAGGATCGGAACTCTCCAGACCCGACGTACGGTCAGGTCGTGAAAAAGAAAAACCTAAAATCAAGTTTACCGTAGATTGTGGCAGAACAAATAGCCAAACAAAACGAGGTGACTGATTGGCATAAGGTTCAATCAAAAAAAGAAAAAAGAACGAAGAAAGAAAAGAAAGAAAAGCTAGCCAAAGAACAGCTTGCAAAGCAGCAGCCAAAAGAGCGCCGGCCGGAACCTAAGAGGAAGAAAACGCGGAAATTTATCAAACCAGACGTGGTTCTAATTCGACCAGCAGAGAAGGCAAAGTATGCCGTGATACTACGTTGACTAAAACAGAACATTCCTGACGAGCAGGT